ATAACAGAGTTGGGAGGGACCTTGGAGGTCTTCTAGTCCAACCCCCTGCTCTTGCAGGAAACCCTCTGCCATTTCAGACAAATGGCTGTCCAGTCTCTTCTTAAAAACGTCCAGTGTTGGAGCATTCACAGCTTCTGGAGGCAGGTTGTTCCATTGGTTAATTGTTCTAACTGTCAGGAAGTTTCTCCTTAGTTCTAGGTTGCTTCTCTCCTTGGTCAGTTTCCATCCGTTGCTTCTTGTCCTGCCTTCAGGTGCTTTGGAGAAGAGGTGGAACCACTGCTTAAATAGGAGCTTGCAATGTGCTGCAGCAGCCAAGGAGAGAACCAATCTAGAACTCAGGAGGAATTTTCTAACCATGAAAACCAATTAATCAGTGGAACGACCTGCCTCCAGAAATTGTGGGTGCTCCATCACCGGAGGTTCTTGAGAAGAGATTGGACAGCCCTTTGCCTGGAATGGCATAAGGTCTCCTGCTTGAGCAGGGGGTTGAGACCAGAAGACCTCCAAGGTCTCTTCCAACTCTGTTTATTCTGGATCTTTTCTGTTTTGGACAGGTTCCTGGCTATCGGCAAGAACGGGTGGAGAAAGGTCTCAAGTTCTTTGCCCAGCTCATCAACAACAAGGCCTTCCTCCTCTCCTTCATCCGCACCCTGGAGTCTCAGCGCAGCTTCTCCATGAGGGACCGTGGCAACGTGGCCTCCCTCATTATGACGGTGCTGCAGAGCAAGCTAGAATACGCCACCGACGTTCTCAAGCAGCTCCTGGCCGACTTGATTGACAAGAACCTGGAGAGCAAAAACCACCCCAAGTTATTACTTCGGAGGTAAGCCTGTCAGGGGGGGTCCCACTGCCCAGGGTTGGGTGACTTTCTCCGGTCGCCGTGGATGGTACAGGAAAGAGCAGAATCTGGGGTGAAAAAAGTGGAGGGCAGGACCTCTGAACTGACGGTCCTGAGGTTGAAGCATAAATTCAAATCAAATTCCTCAAAGGTGAGGACTCCGTGCCTTGAAAAAGCTGTTTCAATAGAAGAGAATCTTTGCCGCTCGGGGTTGAACTAAGGGACCTGAGCTTGGTGGTTTTCTTACAGATGTTTCATGACCCAACTAGGGAAGTGGGGTTTGTGGAGAGGAGGAGGAGGAGGAGGAGGAGGAGGAGGAGGAGGAGGAGGAGGACTGTGGCATCCTTGGTGCTCTCTGAGCTTGGTGATTTCCTTGCAGACGTTTCATGACCCAACTAGGTAATATCATCAGTGCTAGAAGAGAAGTGGGGTTTGCAAAGAGGAGGAGGAGGAGGAGGAGGAGGACTACGAGGTCCTTGGTGCTCTCTGAGCTTGGTTACTTTCTTGCAGACATTTCACAACGCAACCAGGTAACATCATCAGTTCTAGAAGGGAAAAAAAGTTTAAGGAAGAGAAGAGGAAGGGAGAAGGAGAGGTAGAAAGAAGGAATGAAGGAGGAGAAGGAAAAAAAAAGGAGAAGAACTATGGGGTCCTTGGTGGTCTCTGAGCTTGGTTGTTTCGTTGCAGACATTTCATGACCCAACTAGGCAACATCATCAGTGCTAGAAGGGAGTGGGGTTTGTGGGGAGGAGGAGGAGTATAAGGTCCTTGGTGCTCTCTGAGCTTGGTTGCTTTCTTGCAGACGTTTCACGACCATATTGGGTAACGTCATCAGTGCTAGAAGGAAGTGGGGTTTGCTTTCTGTTTATATACATGATGCTTGACCTTTGAACCAGGGGTCCCCAACCTGTGGGCCGCAGCTCACTAGTGGGCTGTGAGGGGTTTACGAGGGGGCCATAGAAAAGGCCAGCGAGCGTGCGTGCGTGCACATCCTCACTTGCATGAGCAGCGTGGGAGTGTGTGTGTGCACGCTCCATTTGTGTGGGTGGCAGGCACACGTGCACGCCCCTCAGAACTGGAACTGCGCCTGTGCAAATCATCCCCTTGCTCCCTCCAGCCGGTCCGCCAAGCTGGAAACGTTGGGGAACTCTGCTCGAAACAACAGCCTAATCTATACTGCAGTTCTACCATTAGAGAGTTAAATGGGAGACTAGGATGACAATTTCGAGCTCATTTTGCTCTCATCATACAGGGTATGGCTAGCTGATGAGAGCAAAATGAGTTCGAAATGGCCATCCTAGTCTCCCATTTAACTCTTTAACTCTTTGTCAACAAAAAAAAGAAATTCGAATATATATGTATATATATATTCAGATTTCTTTTTGCTGACAAAGAGGGGGCTGCAAGGCAAAAGAGATTATAAAAAAGTAGACCTGCAGTATAGCAGTCAAAATGCCAAGGTGTAATCAATCAGACCGTCTGTCTGAAAAACTCTCTGTGTATATATTTATAAATATAAAGGAATTTAAATGACGGTCAGGAATAGAAATCCTTCACATTCTCAACCCTTCCGTCCGAACCGAAGAAGCTTCTGGGATGAGAAGCTAAACGTCTTCAAGGAAAAATCAAGAAAGTCCAGTTGCTTTTGGAACAAGCACCTTTGGGACAACCAGGACCTGGAGGATTGACAATCTCCGTAGACATTTGATATTGCGCTTTTTTATTTACTTTCTGTTTCTTGTGGTATTGTTGGGTTTTTATTTTTATTTCCCTTTGGAGCTTGATGTGTATATTTGGGGGGGGGGGAGCTTCTGAGAATCGCTTTTTTCTTGCGGTATGCATGCCAGTAGGAGGAATCGATCCGTCGGTCGATCGTTCTATCAATCAATCACACAGGGAAGATAACGGGAGGAAAATATTAGCCATTTCTCCCCCCCCCTCTCTCTCCTTCCATTTCATTCCAGGACGGAATCTGTGGCAGAGAAGATGCTGACTAACTGGTTCACCTTTCTCCTTTATAAGTTCCTCAAGGTAAGTACGGACGCTGCTGTCTCACCTGTTCAGAGATGGAATCTAAACAGAGGCGGTGGGATCTGCCCTTCTCTCATTGGCATGTTAATTTCACGGAAGTATTTTTCCACTTTAAGAACTCTTAAGGAAACTGGCTGGGGAACTCTGCAAGTTAAAGTCCACATATCTTCCTCAAGTTGGATCACACTGTTTCATGGTGTTGATTCAGCAGGGGCATGATTTTGGATTTTTAAACTTTTATTCCCAGGTTGGCCTGGTGCCAGGGGTAGGCAACCTTGGCTCTTTTATGACTGGTGGACTTCAACTCCCAGAATTCCTGAGCCAGCATGAGGGAAACTTTGGCCCCTTCATGACTCGTGGACTTCAACTCCCAGAATTCCTGAGCCAGCATGGGGGAAGTATGGCCCCTTCATGACTCGTGGACTTCGACTCCCAGAATTCCTGAGCCAGCATGAGGGAAACTTTGGCCCCTTCATGACTCGTGGACTTCGACTCCCAGAATTCCTGAGCCAGCATGGCTCAGCATGGAAACCTCTCCCGTTCCCCTCAGCATGGCTGGCTCAGGAATTCTGGGAGTTGAAGTCCACCAGTCACAAAAGAGCCAAGGTTGCCTACCCCTGTCCTAAGTCCTCCTGTTCTAAGTGGTGAGCCTCCTAGGCCAGGGGTAGGCAACCTTGGCTCTTTTATGACTCGTGGACTTCAACTCCCAGAATTCCTGAGGCAGCATGGCTCAGCATGGAAACCTCTCCCTTTCCCCTCAGCATGGCTGGCTCAGGAATTCTGAGAGTTGAAGTCCACGTGTCATAAAAGAGCCGAGGTTGCCTACCCCTGGCCTGGTGAAACTTAAAGATGAGTAAGCGTCGATTCCCAGAATTCCCCACCTGGGGAATGGGGCGCTTGAATTGAGGCTCATTCATCTTGAAGTTGCCGAGATTGATCTAGGGCTGGAGGTACCAGGCTAGAAACCAGGAGACAGTGAGTTCTAGTCTAGGCTTTCATGGGCATGAAAACCAACTGGATGACTTTGGGCCAATCACCAGGAGACGGAGAATTCTAGTTCTGCCTTAGACATGAAAGCCAGCTGGGTGACTTTGGGCCAGTCACCAGGAGACTGTGAGTTCTAGTCCCACCATGGCTTGAAATCTGGTTGGGTGACTTTGGGCCAATCACCAGGAGACTGTGAGTTCTAGTCCCACCATAGGCTTGAAATCTGGTTGGGTGACTTTGGGCCAGTCACCAGGAGACTGTGAGTTCTAGTCCCACCATGGCTTGAAATCTGGTTGGGTGACTTTGGGCCAATCACCAGGAGACGGAGAATTCTAGTTCCGCCTTAGTCATGAAAGCTGGCTGGGTGACTTTGGACCAGTCACCAGGAGACTGTGAGTTCTAGTCCCACCATAGGCATGAAAGCCAACTGAGTGACTTTGGACCCAATCACTAGGAGACAGTGAATTCTAGCCCCACCTTAGGCATGAAAGCCAGCTGGGTGACTTTGGGCGAATCACCAGGAGACTGTGAGTTCTAGTCCCACCATAGGCTTGAAATCTGACTTTGGGCCAGTCACCAGGAGACAGAGAATTCTAGTTCCGCCTTAGGCATGAAAGCCAGCTGGGTGACTTTGGGCCAATCACCAGGAAACTGTGAGTTCTAGTCCCACCATAGGCTTGAAATCTGGTTGGGTGACTTTGGACCCAATCACCAGGAGACAGTGAATTCTAGCCCCGCCTTAGGCGTGAAATCTGGTTGGGTGACTTTGGGCCAATCCCCAGGGGACGAAGAATTCTCGTTCTGCCTTAGGCTTGAAATCTGATTGAGTGATTTTGGACCCAATCACCAGGAGACAGTGAATTCTAGCCCCGCCTTAGGCGTGAAATCTGGTTGGGTGACTTTGGGCCGATCAATCTCTCCCAGCCCAACCCACCTCATAGGGTTGTTGTGGGGAAAATAGGAGGGGGAAAGAGGGACTATTTGGTACGTTCGCTACCTTGAATGATGTATAAAAGTAACGAAGGTGGGATAAAAATAAATAAATACTTACACAGCTAAATAAAATGAATTTCTGGCATCAGAATGAACTAAGTTTGCTTTTTAAAAACTTCTCTTTCCTCTGTGTTTAACACAGCAGGATCCCGCGGCGAAGTCAGAAAAAATCACGGAGTCCTCTTTTTGTGACCCATATAAGAATGGGGTGAGGCTGAATTCTCCATCTTATCTTTTCTGTCTCCGCTGATTGCTTCTGATTTGCTGTAAAATCTAGATTTGCATCAAAATCTAGTGCAGGATGTGTTGGCCTGCTTGCTCAAAAAAAAAAAACCCCTGAATTTAAACATCTTAAGAAGAGATCGGACAGCCATTCGTCCGGAATGGCATAGGATCTCCTTCTTGAGCAGGGGGTTGGACTAGAAGACCTCCAAGGTCCCTTCCAACTCTTGTTGTTCTGTATCTGTTCACTTTATTCCGGGCGTAAAAATAGTTTGAAAAATACTAAAAGCACATTGCAAGAACCTCCAGAAAGCCTGCCCCCCGCCCCGCCCCAAAGGCTAATAAAAAGGCCTTAACACTTAAGAGAATAATGTTAAGGCTTAATAAATCAAGGTTAGGCAGAGATTCATCTGCTAATAAATTACGTCGCCATTTGTATGCTGCTAAAGACTCAGCATGGGCTTCTTGAGATTTTTTTTCAAGTGCGAGGAAATTGACATTTTTTCCCCCCACATTTATTTTTCATCACCTTCAATTTTCACGGTGATTTATTGCCGGCGTGTCAAAAATATATTCAGAGCATCCCATCAAAATTTAAAACACAGGTAAAGCTGATCGTACGTCTTCCGTGCAATTAGGCAGATCCATATAAATAGGCTGGCGATGAATCCTAATTTTATAGCCTTGTAACGTCAGGTCCCAAAATGTTTATGAGATTCTTGCTCTGAGGCAATATAATACACAGACACACACACACAGACACACAAACATTTACTACTGTGTCAGAGTCTGGCGGTCTTTCTCAACCTTAGCCAACTTGAGATGAGTGGACTTCAACTCCCAGCATTCCCCAGCCATCATACTGGCTGCAGAACTCTGGGAATTGAAGTCCACCCATCTTAAAAGTTGATGATGAGACTTTGGAAAAAGTTCAGAGAAGAGCAACTAAGATGATCCGAGGCCTTGAGACTAAAACATAGGAAGAACGGCTGCGGGACTTGGGTTTGGCTAGTCTAAAGACAAGAAGAAATAGGGGAGACATGATAGCAGTGCTCCAGTATTTGAGGGGCTGCCACCAAGAAGAGGGGGGTCACGTTATTCTCCAAAGCACCAGAGGGAAGGATGAGAAACAACGGTTGGAAACTGACCAAAGAGAGAAGCCACCTGGAATTAAGGAGAAAGTTACTAGCAGTGAGGACAATTAACCAGTGGAACAGCTTGCCACCAGAGGTTGTGGTGCTCCATCACTGGAGATTTTTAAGAAGAGACTGGACAGCCATCTGTCTGAAATGGTATAGGTTCTCCTGCTCGAGCAGGGGGCAGACTAGAAGACCTCCAAGGTCCCTTCCAGCTCTATTCTATTCTATTCTATTCTATTCTATTCTATTCTATTCTATCTTCCATCTATCCTATCCTCTATTCTATTCTATTCTATTCTATTCTATTCTATTCTATTCTATTCTATTCTATTCTATTCTATTCTATTCTATCTTCCATCTATCCTATCCTATCCTATCCTATCCTCTATTCTATTCTATTCTATTCTATTCTATTCTATTCTATTCTATTCTATCTTCCATCTATCCTATCCTATCCTCTATTCTATTCTATCCTATCCTATCCTATCCTATCCTATCCTATCCTATCCTATCCTATTCTATTCTATTCTATTCTATTCTATTCTATTCTATTCTATTCTATTCTATCTTCCATCTATCCTATCCTATCCTCTATTCTATTCTATTCTATCTTAACCTATCCTATCCTATCCTATTCTATTCTATTCGCTAAGGCTGAGAAAAACTGGCTCGTGCCAGGCCAGACAATGGTGGTTTATCTCTAGTTCTTGCAACTCGGTGGCCTCCATCTCAGTCTGCTTTAAGCTTTCCCTAACAGATGGCGCATACATGCTTCCACTCGCCCAGGATGCCTTCAAGCATGACAATACAGGTAAGTCCTCGACTTACGACCACCATTGAGCCCAAAATTTCCCTTGCTAAGCGAGACGGTTGTTGCGCGGGTTTTGCCCCATTTTACGACCTTTCTTGCCACAGCTGTTAAGTGAATCCCTGCAGTTGTTACAGTTAGCCACGCGGTTGTTAAGTGAATCTGTGGTCCTTATTGACTTTGCTTGTCGGAAGGTCACAAAAAGGGGATCGCGTGACACACACACCCCGGGGACACTGCGGCCCTCATAAATAAGAGCGAATTTCAAAATGTCTCAATTTTGATCACGTGACCCATGGGGATGCTGCAATGGTCGTAAGTGTAAGAAATGGTCATAAGTCGCTTTTTCCAGTGCCATTGTAACTTCGAACGGTCACTAAAAGAATGGTTGTAAGCCGAGGACTACCTGTCACCAGACAGGACCGTGTATGCGGTTTCCTAAGGATCTAAACACAGGCAGTCCGTTTAGCAACCGCTCAAAGTTACGACGGCCCTGAAAAAAAGTGACTTATGCCCGTTTTTTCACACTTACGAGCGTTGCAGCCTTCCCACGCGATCAAAATTCAGATGCTTGGCCACCGACTCAGATTTACGACGGTTGCAGCTGATCCCCTTTCGACAAGCAAAGTTAAGAAAGATTCACTTAACAGCTGTCCTGCTCACTTAAGAACGCCAGCGACTCACTTAACAATTGTGGCAAAAAGATGGTAAAACGGGGGGGCAAAGCTCCCTTAACAACGGTCACGCTTAGCCACAGAAATCTCGGGCACGATTGTGGTTGTAAGTCGAGGACTCCCTGAGACCCTTTTCCTGCCTCCCGTGCCCTTTTTTTGCAGCCAGAAAAAGGTGTCAAGGACCTTGGATAGTCTGTCCCTGGTTCCCGCTATCCGATTCCCCTTTTGGGCTGAAAGTGGGGGACGGCGCGGGAGGCGAAAAGCCCTCGGAAAATCCCTGATCTCATAATAGGCTATTTTCACCTTCTTGCCTTCCTGCCTCTCTTCCCAAAATGCAGGTTGATAAGCCACGAGGAAGCCATATGTTGGCCGAAGATAAGCTAATTAAGTGGCAGGCAGGTGCTACAGGGAAGGGAAGACACACACACACACACACCTCCTTTTGGCTTCTGACCTGGAGCTCTGGGGATTTTCACAGGACAAAATTGAAACGGCACGGATGGGTTTGGGAGAGGCAGGACTGCCCTGCCGAAGGATGCAGACTCGATGGGACAATAATAGAGAAATTGGGGGGGGGGAGGAATCCGTGAATTCTGCCTGCAGCCTTCGTGTTCGGCAGGACTCGGCGTTTCTGACAGAAACCCGGTCAGTTTCCGGCAGATTTTCCTCTTAAAAAGTGAATCCCTTGCTCTAAGCAAATCCTTGCGGTTTAGAAAAAATATACGGGGTCCTTGGTGCACTCTGCACTTGGTTGTTTGCTTGCAGACGTTTCATGACCCAACTAGGTAACATCATCAGTGCTGGAAGGGAGTGGGGATTGCAGGGAGGAGGAGGAGGAGGAGGAGGAGGAGGAGGAGGAGGAGGAGGAGGAGGAGGAGGAGGAGGAGGAGGA